CAACAGCAAAAGGGCTAGAGATATGGCTCATTTGCACTCATATGCAAATATCCACACACCAATACACATAATTAAAAATTTAAAAATAAATCTATTAAAAAACAAAACAAGCAAGAATCAGACTGTCCAGGTATGGAAATCCTTGACCATGACACAATTAATATATAAGCCCTTATATAAATGAAAGTTTATAAAAATGAATCTTGGGGCTGGAGAGATGGCTCGGCAGTTAAGAACACTGACTGTTCTTGCAGATCTGGGTTTGAATCCCAGCACCCACATGGCAACTAACAACTGTCCGTAACTCCAATCCTAGGGGATCCGACAGCCTCTTCTGACCTCTGCAGGCATTATATGACACGGGTACACTTACCTATATGCAGGCAATACACACATACACATAAAATAATAAATATTTAAAAAAAAAGATTCTCATACAGAAGTCAAGTCAGAGTCTCTAATTCAAATGGCTTCTTTACTGCTCCTGGAGATAAGCATGAGGAAAGATCCCAGGCTGGTAAAAGGCAGGCTTTGGACCAAAAGGGCAACTGAGGAGATAGGGAAAGTGTGCTTACATGCAGGGAGGTCAGTTTCAGGATGGGACACATATGGAAGGACCTGGAAACAGTCCTCCACCACCGGATCTCCAAATGTCTTCAAGTGCCCCAGAATGAAGACTGCAGATTAGCAGATAAATAACTATGACATGGACAATATGAAGCCTCTGAAGGATTCAAATCAGGTGAGATGTGTGCTTTGGGATTGACTTAGAAGCTGCTTTGTAGGGGCCTGGTTCTCAACTCTGGCTGCAAAGCAAGCCCACATGGAGAGCTCAGAAATCCTAATCCCTTGGCCCCACACCAGAACAGTGAAACCCATAACCTGCCAGAAACAAATCATTTAATAGTTAGATGGTTTCTGTATCTCTGTGTAACAAAATAGAAGGCAGACACCATCAATCAGCTGAGAAATCATTACTATTTCTGGCAGGCAGTTGGGTACTCAGTGACATGTACCTGTAGTCCCAGCGACCTGGAAGGCTGAGGCAAGAGGAACACTTGAGATCAAGAGTTCAAGGCCAGCCCAGCAAGACTCATCTTCAAAAAAAGAAAGGAAGAAAAGAAGGAAGAAATTCTGATAAAAGATTACTACATGATGATGTGATGCTTACAAACCAAAAGAATCAAAATATTGATTGGCTCTGCTATAGCAAAGCTCCATCTCCATCCATTAAGTAAACATAGTTTCTCAGAATTCATATAATAAAATAGAAGGAACACTGAAACCTGTCCTCCTTCTTCCAACGGTATCCATCCTGAGGAGAGTAGGAGCCAACAGCTCACTGGGATACATTTCAATGAATTTCTACTTTTGCATAACAGCTATTCAAAAATTATGAAATAGGGCTGGGGGATGGCTGAGAGGTGAAGAGCACTGGCTGCTCTTGCAGAGGAGTTGGGTTCAGTTCCTAGCAATCACATGGTGACAAACAATAATTTTTAACTCCAGTTCCAGGAGATCCAATGCCCTCTTCTGGCCTCCATGGGCATTGCCTGCCTCTGTCTCCCAAGTACTAGGATTAAAGGCATATGCCACCTTGCCCAGCTCTAATACTTTTTTTATATCAACTTTGTATGTGTGGTATGTGTATGGTCTATGTGAGTATACATATTCATGTGCATGTACAGGTTTGCATGCATATGTGTGCACTTGCAAAAGTGGTACACATACAAACACCAGGCACACACAGATACACATAAATAAACAAATAAGCATTTTAAAAAGTATCTCTCTGGCTGGGACCATACCTTTAATCCCAGCACTCAGGAGGCAGAGGTAGGTGGATCTCTGAGAGTTCAAGGCCAGCATGGTCTACATAGGGAGTTCCAGGCCAGCTGGGGTTACAGGGAGGCCCTGTCTCAAAAAAAAAATAAAAAAATCTCTCTAATGGCTGGTGCATGCCTTTAGTCCCAGCACTCAGGAGGCAGAGGCAGGTGAATCTATGAGATCGAGGCCAGCTTGGTCTATATAGTGAGTGCCAGGCCAGTTTAGCTACAAGGAGACCCTGTCTCACACTTGATACAGGAGCCCTGGTGGTACATACCTTTAATCCCAGCAGAGGCAAGTGTATCTCTGAGTTCAGAGCCAGTCTGGTCTACCCATCAAATTCCAGACCAACTAGGGTTACATAGCAAGACCCTGTCTCAAAAAAAAAGTTGATACAGGGGCTGGGCAGATGACTCAGTGGGTAAACCATTTATCCTGCAAGCATGAGTTTGGATCCCGGCACCCAGGTAAAAAGCCAGGTGCCTGGCTATGTGTATCTGGAATCCCAGCTCTGGGGAGACAGAGAAAGGAATCCTGGAATTTGTTGGCCAGCCAGTCTAGAGAAATCTATGAGTGCCAGGTTTAGTGAGAGGTACTTTTTTGTGTTTTTTGGTATTTTTGAGACAGGGTCTCCCTGTAGCTCCAGCTGGCCTGGAACTCGCTTTGTAGTCCAGGCTGGGCCTTGAACTCACAGAGATCCTCCTGCCTCTGCCTCCCGAGTGCTGGGATTAAAAGCATGTGACACCACACCCAGCCTGTATCAAGTTTTAAAAGGAGTAAGGGGATATATAATTTTGGACTGGCACACCACCAAAACCAAAGAGGCCTAAGCACTACTGCTGCTGCCTCAACACAAGACTGTAAAGATGCGGCCTGAGCAGCCTCTTCAGCTTCCCTGTGTCCTGTGCTCCTGACATTAGGCTCACCTCTAAGCCACATCACAGTACAGAAGGCAGCGGGTACTCAGAAAAGTGTTTGCTAATCCAGTGCCTCTCCCAGAAGGGAAACGAAGATTTAAAAGGAAACGAAAAAGTGCAGAAAGCACGTCTCCAGTTCTATGAAGGAAGAAGTGTTTCTTTGGAAACATTAAACAGAAAGTTCTAAGAATTACACGTAGTTTCTTTCAAAAAGTATAAATGTACTCTAAACATTTATAGAGTATTAGCAGGGCCCAACAGGAAAAGTCCTAGAGCCACAGAATGCTCTTAAGGCCACAGAATGCTCTTAAGCCCTGGGATATCACCAAGTCACTGATAGTGCTAACCAACTACCTATAAACTAATTTAGGCCACGGAATGCTCTTAAGCCCTGGGATATCACCAAGTCACTGATAGTGCTAACCAACTACCTATAAACTAATTTAGATTACTACCTTGAGTGTGTCTGATCCTTATGGATAAGTCCCAATATCTAACAGTGCTATCAATATTTGTGCCTTGATTTTAAAAATTTAATGCTACACTGAACTAACTTCTTTTTGTTTGGATTTTTTTTTTTTTTTTTTTTTTTTTTTTTTTTTGAGACAGGGTCTCGCTGTAGTCCCAGCTGGCCTGGAACTTGCTATGTAGACCAGGCTGGCCTTGAACTCAGAGATCTGCCTGCCTCTGCTTCCCCAATGATGAGATTAAAGGCATATGCTACCAAACCCAGCCACTGGACTCATTTTTATAAAAAAGATAAGACTATGTGACCACCTAAAAAAGATTATCCAAGTTGTGTATGTAGTTCAGTGATAAAATGCCTGCCTGACATGTGTAAGGCCCTGGGATCAATCTTCAGCATCACAAAACAAAAAGGAGGGAGGGAGGGAGGGAGGGATAGAAACACTGACAAAAAAATCTGAAAGCTCTAAGACAAAGTGATATAACAGACGGTGATTTGGAGGAGATAAGGTGGTTAATAAAGTACTTTGAGTGGGTGGCACTTGAACTGAGACTTAGCATGCCAAGCAGGCATGAAGAACCAGGAGGCACCGTCCCAGACAGAGTGAACAAGAACAAAGGTCCTGAGGGAAGAAGGCAGCCAGACAGGCTGGAACAAAACTGACAGTTGGCATGACTAGGGATGCATGACTAGAGATGCTAGGTACCAAGGGACAGACTGTGCAGACATAACACAGTTTTCCATTCGAGACCTTGGTCTTTGAGAATCAGAGCAAAAGCTGAATGAAGAAAGTAACCCCAGATGCCCCTAGCAACCATGTGAAAGCACAGGGCAGGTACTGAGGGGACAATCAAACGAGGCAACACAAGGACAGTGTGGACTCCCAGAACTAAGTGACAAAATCAACCAGAAGGGCCAAGAGAAAAGAATGATGGGGAAAACTAGAACGTTGGCCAATAGTGTAGGCAGCAGGAAGGATTAGATCCAGCAGGCCAGGCAGAAGCACATTCCTTGCCAAGTCATGACCCAGCTCCAAACTATTCTCTTTCAACCCTTTCCCGACCTATATTTCCTTGCTATAGAGACTGTGCAGCAGCTAATCTCAGTCATTGCTCACATATGACGAGACAACGACACTTCAAGCTCCCGGACGTCTAAGGCAAATGCCACCGACACAAAAGCTGCTTGTAGGTTCAATGGAGATACAACTGATGAAAAGACCCTCAACCAAGCACTGAGAAAGGGAACTAGGTTTGCAAGTATGTCAAAGAGATTCTCCTACTGCTCAAAAGAAGTCAAATGCAGCCAGAGAACTGCTGGAGTTTAAAAGCTGCTTATGCCACTCACTGGCTGTATCACCTCTGCAAAGTCTTCATCTGCATCTACTTGAAACACTCTTGAGAATTAAATAAGGTTTTTGGTAAGGTCACACAGCAAAACATAAGGGGGTTCCAGTCAGTCTGACAACTCCATTAATTTCTATTTATATGATGACTATGGGAAAGACATTTTCAACTCTGGGTCTTTGCTTATTAGTCATTAAAGAGGAGACAGCATCATTTACCTGGCACTGCTTCTGAAGAAATTAAAGGAGAAAACTGTCAAGTGTCAAGCACAGCTTCACACACAGTTAACTATTCAGTACGGATTCTTTCTTACTACTTTGAGTGTGGCCAGGACAAAGAAGAAGGAAAGGGGGGGCGGTGTCTATAAACCACGTTTGGCTGCTGAGAAGGCAGGGATTAGTGGATCACTGACTGGCATGTCTAGCTTCTTGGGAAAAGACTCACCTGGTGGTTCCAAATGGAGCCCTCTTTGCTGCGCTCGTCAGGGGTCAGACGCACGTACTGGCTCGTAAGCATAGTGCTGCCTTGGAAATCCCAGAGAGGCATGGAGCTGGAACCGACCCCTGTGGGCAGAGGACGACATAGGAGATGCCGAAGCAGTCCCAGAAAAGCACACAGCTGCTCCGCTGAAGAATAAGGGTACATCCTGCCTCCACCCGCTCCAGGCTCTGAAGCTCACCTTTCAGTCATCCCTGCCCCATGCCTCACCTTGGTAGGGCTTGATAAGAGAATGCTCCCGCTTGAGGTGTTCACTGTTGCCGTCAGTTATATCCGCAGCCACCGGACCCAGCAACAGAAGAAAACGTATTAGTGTAGCGGGGCCTGGGCCGGGGCCAGGAAGCCCAGGCCTCCCTGGGCACCGCTGGCCCCAGCCCCAGCCCCAGCGCCAAAGCCAGGCCTCCAACGCCATTCTCCTTTACTCTCGGCCACTTCCGCCCAAGGACTTCCGCCTTCCGGGTGTGCTTTAGAATGGCCTCCGAGCTAGCATCACCAGAGACTTAAAAAGCAAAGCCTCGCAACCCGCCGGAGGACAACCTAGTTGGTTGGGCAGCCCCCTGTCGTGGTAGAGCGCTATTCCATAATTTTGGAGGCTCCTAGGCACCTGCCAGCCGGCCACAGCAGGGAGGGCTTAGGAGCGCCTAGAGAGTCAGCCAATCCTGGAGCAGCACGTTAGGCTTGCAAGCCCGCAAGAAGCAGGGGGATGGTTGGAGTTCGCGGGTAGAGCGAGTACGGTCTTCGGAGCGGGGCATCCTGGAATTTGTAGTCTTTATGGGCTGTTTATGCAGGAAGGACACTGGGAGACTACTGCTCAGTCCTAGGCCTCTGATCACAGATCCCACCTTTGAAATGACCTTTCTCAGTTCAGTGGGAAAAGCAGCAATTTAGTGAGGTAGAAAGCCCGAGTTCAGCTCCTGAGCCACCTTGAACTCCGTGGGTGGGACAAACTTTGAAGCCAAATCAAGTTTTATCAGCCCCAGCCTGTGCCACATCTATGGAGACTTAAAGATCCCAATTATTTGAGGGTCTCCACTACCCCGAATTCTTATCTTCAGGCCTAGACAGAATGAAGAAGGAAGGGAAGACCAGATCCTAGCCTAGGACCTCAGTGAAGATCAGATGCCGTCTATATCCCTGCAGTGCCAGTGTTTTTTGCAACACTGAGTGCCCACAAAAGGTTCAGGACAGCAGGCTGTGGCTAAGAGGTTAGAAACTGGTGGTTTGCAGCCAAATACAGTTCTAGTTTACCTGTTAATGCTATTTCAGTAAAGATTTAACTGCCAACATTTTTTTAGTCAAGATACTTAAATTCACGTTAGAATTCCTAATCTCTGCATCATGCAGAGAGAAACCTGGCTCAGGAATTAAGAGTGTCTACTGCTCTTCAGAGAACAGAGTTCAGTTCCCAAAACCCACTTTAGGCAGCTTTCAACTACAGTGTTAACTCCAGCTCCAGGGGATCAACGCTCCCTTCTGGCCCTGATGAGCATACACACATTTATTTATTTTTATTTGATTGATTGATTGATTGATTGATTGATAGGGCTCAGATCTAGATGACCCCAGACTCAGAAACCATGAAGCTCCTAAGAGAAGCTGAGTCAACCAACTCCCAGCCACCTGTGAGTTAACAAAAGCAGCCCCTGGGAAATTAATAACCAATGTATTGTGATCACCAGAGCATGCCCCACAGGCTGATAAACAGGTTTCCCAAGCCCTTAGCTGCAGTTAATTCCTGGAACCCTGTAATCGTAGAAAAATGTTTTACAGTAACTGTTTCCCCCAATACGCTTCACCAGGTACAGACCCCATGCCCTCCATTGAGCAAGCAGCCCCCAAAACAGTCCCAAACAGCAGAAAATATTCTCTTTTTCCTTGTTCTTTCCCTTTATAAGCTACCCCTCTGCGGTCCTTAAGCTGCTGGTTCTTCCTCACACCTGAGTTGAGAACCAGCCCCACCAAACCCAATTAAACTCTCGCTTTGCCAGAGTCTTTGTTTCTTTTTTTTTTTTTTTTTTTTTTTTTTTTTTTTTTTTGGTCTTTTTGAAGCAGGGTCTCCCTGTAGCCCCAGCTGACCTGGAACTTGCTATGTAGACCAGGCTGGCCTCTAACTCACAGAGATCCTGCCTCTGCCTCCCAAGTGCTGGGATTAAAGGTGTGCACCACCACGCCTGGCGTCCCTGACACCTTTTCATCTAACATATGGTGCCATGACTTGGATTGCCTATTTGGGTATGGCATTGAGGACTCTGGCCAGATCAACTGCCAGATACCAGCTCCTGCATTCACCATGGATTCGGCCATCAGGTACTCCCCTTCTCTTCTCTCTCTCTCTCTCTCTCTCTCTCTCTCTCTCTCTCTCTCGCCCCATTCCTCCACCCTCTGCTGCCACCCTCCCTCTCCCTGCCATTTGGCACTCTCCTCATCATGACCATCAGTCACTCCCGGACTCAGAACTTCAGCCACTGGGCAGCATGGGCCTCCGTGACCATTGAATGTCCGGCATGGTTGCTGTGTCTGCCTAAGCCCACCTGACCGATAGACCCATCCGTCCAATGCTCTCAAATCCTTTTCCTGATCTGTGTGTGTGTGTGTGTGTGTGTGTGTGTGTGTGTGTGTGTGTCTCCTTCTTCCTGCCATACAGTCCTTAGATCTCCTGTTCCTCGTTAAATCATACCGGTACGTCAGGAGATCCCATATTTTTCCCTCCCTAGTCACAGGATGCTGTTTCTAGGGATCTTGGGACACTCTCATTTTCGGGACCCTCTCCACAGAGGGACGCCTCTCTGCACATCGGTCTCGCATGACAATTTGGCACACCTATTCTCTTAATTCTCTTATGCCTCTTTCCTCTCTTGTTCTCGTCCTCTCAGTCTTTCTCCTCCTTCTGGTACTTGTCTTCCTAGTCAGCCTCACTCCCAACCTCCTCTTTCCCCGAAGAGGTCCATAAGCCTCCCCTTTCCCCTCTTTATCTCTCATCTCCTCACACTCACTGTCCTTTTCATTCTCTTCCTCATCGCTTTAATTAAAATGGGCAACCTCATTTCTAAACCTACTGGACTCATCCCCCTCGATTGCCTCTTAAATTCTTTAAAAACTTTAGATCTTCTGGGCGCTGTCAGACTTAAGCGCCTCAAATTTCTCTGTACCACTGCCTGGCCACAGTATAAGCTAGACAATGGTTCTGTGTGGCCAGAGACAGGAACCTTAGATTTCAATATTTTAAGAGATTCAGATAACTTCTGCCAAAGTAACTGGCAAATGGTCCAAACCCCCTATATCCAAGCTTTCTTTGCTCTTCGTGCCCAACTCTCCCTCTGTGCTCCCTGTCAGATTGCCAGGTCCTCTTGTAAGACCCTCCAACTGACAGCAATTCCTCTGCCCCTCCTCCCCTGTTCCCCCTCCTATTCTCAAGAGGTGGCTGCCACCACAGCCTGCACTGCCTCCACAGCAAGGAATGGGTAGTGCCCCACCCCCACACCTCACACGCCTCTAATGGTCACCAGCCACAGCCCTGCAGGGTCTTGGGTGCCCACCCACCCACCCGTGGACAAGGGAGGGCGATGGCACGAGGCAGGCAGCTCTGGGCCCCAGAGCAGGCAGCACTGGAGCCTGGGAGCCTGGGGTCACAGGCTGGGCTGGGAAGAGGCTCAGGAACCTGCTAGGCCATGCCCCCCCCCCAAATGGCAGCTCTCAGGGCCTGTGCTGACAGTAGCCTATGTAGAAGGAGCTGTCAGAATTCACTCCCCTTTCTCTCTTAACATGTCCCAAATAGAGAAAAAAAATTAGGATCCTTCTCCACAGACCCAGCCTGCTTCATTCCATGTAAACTATCAAGATGGAAGAGAAGGGAGAAAAGCTCATAATTTAATTTTATGATTGCTTGTCTTCTTGCAGGATTAGAGAAAACCTCCCATAAAATTGTATAACCCAAAACCCCTCTGAAAACCCAGCACAGTTTCTGCCTAGACTTACTGAGGCAGTACACCAGATATGATCCAGATTCTAGAGATGCTTAGCCATCATTTAATATCACAATCTGCCCCTGATATTAGGAAAAAACTTAAACAGCTAGAAAGGGGCCCAGATACCCCCCAGGGAGATCTGTTCAAAATGGCATTTAAAGTCTTTAATAACCAGGAGGAGCAGACTAGGACGGACATATTTGCCCTAACTAAACAAAAATATTAGCTACTGGCCACAGCTCTAAGGGCTCCTCCAAAGAAGACACTCTCCAGCTCCACTGCGACAGAACATCAGCCACCAGGACCCTGCTTCAGTTGCGGACAGACTTGACACTGGGCCAAACAATGCCCCAACCTACAACCACCACCAGGACCCTGCCCTCAATGTGGACAGAGAGGTCATTGGAGGATCAATTGTCCTTCTTTGCGACGTCAAGGTAAGCCATTCTCCTCTCCGACCCCATCCACTTTGCAGGAGTCCATCACTGATCTTCTGGGCCTGGTGGCCGAAGACTGACAGGACCCTGGTTCCTCAGCCCCCACCTCATCTATAACCATCAATATGGAGGAGCCCAGGGTATGGCTACAGTAGTTGGTAAGTCCCTTTCCTTTATTATAGATATGGGAGCGTCATGGTCTGTTCTCCCCTCCTACTCTGGTAGGGTTTTTTCCCTCACAGATCTCCATGGTAGGGATAGATGGAAGACCCCATTTCCCTAAAACAACAGGATGATTATCTTGTATATTTTGGAAAACTCCCTTAACTCATGCCTTTTTAGTCATGCCGCCATGGCTGTCTCCCTTACTTGGTAGAGATCTTATGCAGAAACTTTCTCTCTCTCTTTTCTTCCCTCCCCGGTCTTCATTCTCTCCCCTATAGTTCCTCCCACTCAGAACAAAACCTGGCCACTCCCAGCATCTGAGGTTGATCCCCAAGTTTGGGACACCTCCACTCCGGGCCTGGCCTCTCATCACACCCCCATCCACATCACCCACAAAGATTCCTCTATGTACCCTTTTAGGAGCTCTCTCCTGGGGTTGATTGGCAACTAGATTTTACCCATATGCCAGCCTGCAAAAAGTTCAGATACCTACTAGTCTTGGTAGATACCTTCTCAGGATGGATAGAGGCTTCCCACTACAAGGAAAACGGCAGATATAGTAGCTAACTGTCTAATCCAAAACATCTTCCCCTGCTTTGGCCACCCCTTTACCCTCCAATCAGACAATGGCCCAGCCTTCATCTCTAAAGTAACCCAGACAGTGTCTCATTCCCTGGGAATAACCTGGAAACTATACATTCCCTACCACCCCCAGTCATCAGGCAAGGTGGAATGAGCTAATTCACTTCTCAAGGATCACCTTACTAAACTCTCCTTGGAGTTACATCAGTCATGGGTCACTCTCCTTCCCCTAGCTCTAACCAGGTTACGAGCCGTCCCACGAGCTCCATCCTTTTTAAGTCCTTTTGAGGGACCCCTAGTCACTATTGGCCTCATTTTGACAGTGGCCCCATGCCTCATCAGTTGCCTTCAGGATCATATCTGCCAAT